ATGCAACGTGGTACCTATAGGCGTTTGTCATATTTTGTTGGGGTGATATTGGCAATTCAACTGCAAGGCCCAACACGGCAGGTTCGAGAACGCATTCATTCAAGAAGAAAGTAAGATGCACAATTCTTTTGCCTGTCAAGGACGCAAAAGGAGTAGATATCACAGCGGAGACAATAGTCCCAAGAGCCACCTATATGCAGTCGGTACGAGGGACTCCAGTGTCCATGGCTTTAGCCCTGTTAGAAGAACTGAGGAAGAGGTTAAGATATCATAACCCATACAACCACTGATGTGATTTTCGAGATGAAACGACTGACAGCCTTCCAGAGAGATTGCCACCATTGAGGGACATTCAGCATGTCATAGATTTTATCATCAGATAAGTGTTGTTAAACAAGCCTACCTACAAATTAAGATCAGTAGAATATGAGAAATTACAGCAACATATACAAGATCTCAATACGAGGGGTCTGGTCAGAGAGAGTACTAGCACATGTGCTACCCCCGTCTTAATGGCATTTAACGACGGATCGTGGAGGATGTGCATTCATAGTCAAGCCATCAACAAAATCTCTATCAAATGCATGTTCCTGATGCATCGCTTGGATGACCTCTTGGATGAATTGAATGGAGCCATTATCACTTCTGAAATCGACTTAAGCAGATGATATCACCAGATCCAAATGAGACCAAGGGAGGAGTGGAAGACTGCTTTCAAGATCTAGCATGGATTATATGAGTGGATGGACATGCCTTTCCAATTGTCTAATACACCCAGTGCGCTCATGAGATTGATGAATCAAGTCTTTCAGGCTCACATCGATTCGCAGTGGTGTACTTCGATGATATTTTGGTATACAGCAAATCCAAGGAGCACTTAAAGCGCCTGAGGACGGACTTCGAGGACGTGCAATCAGAGAAACTATACACCCACCAAAAGAAGTTTCACTTTCTCACAAAAAAAGTATGTTTTTTTAGATATGTATTGTCTAGTGCAAGCATTTAGATAGATCCCACAAAGATGGAAGTCATCATGAGCTGGACAGTCCCACGGTCATTTACCAAGTTGAGAAATTTTTTGGGGCTGGTATCATTTTATAGGTGATTCCTCAAGAACTCCAGCACCATCAAAGCTTCTCTAATAGAAATTTTGAAAAAGGAGAAGTTTCACTGGACGGAAGTTGTTCAGTTCAATTTGGATACACTAAAGGATAAAGTGACCCAGGTATTAGTATTGGCATTACCAAACTTCAATCAGTTGTTTAAGATGGAGTGTGACGCCTCAAATGTGAGAATGAAAGCAGTGTTGAGCTGTAGAAACCACCCCATAGCATTCATCAGTGAGAAGTTGAATGAATGCAAGAGAAAAATATTTGGCATGCGACAAAGAGTTCTATATGATCATGAGAGCTCTTAATCACTTGAGTCACTACTTGTTGACCAGTAAGTACACCTTATTTACGGATCATGAGTCTTTGAAGTTCTTGAACAGCCAGAACAAGTAAAGGGTCGACATGCATCCTAGATAGAGTTCTTAACATCTTTCCAATTCATGCTTAAGCAAAAGGCGGGAAACCAAAATCGAGTAGCAAATGCACTGAGCTGCCATCAGTTGGTGATCACTTCTATGCAGACTCGGGTCGTAGGCTTTGAGATAGTGAAGGAATTGTACGTGACAGACAAAGATTTTAAAAAGATCTGGGATCAGTGTCAAGAGAAGCCTACAGATCATTATCACAAGGCTGGTGATTATCCGTTCCACCAGAATAAATTGTGTATTCCTAGATTTTCGCTGAGAGTACATTATTCAGTAAATTCATAGCAAAGGAATTGCATGACAATTTGACAGAGATAAGACTCGCAATCATGCGAGAACACTTTTGGCCCCGACTGAGGAGAGATGTGAAACGACATGTCAGACAATGCATAATTTATGATGTGGCCAAAACCAGAGGGCGGCATATAGAACTATACACTCCTTTACCAATACAGAAGGCCCTATGGCTAGACGTTAGCATGAATTTTGTGATGGTTCTTCTGAGGAAGCAGTAGAACAAGGGTTTTGTGCTGGTTGTGCTAAATAGATTATTGAAGATGGCGCATTTCGAAACTTGACATCGGATGTTGGATGCATCACATGTAGCTAACTTATACTTCAAGGAGATCGTGAGACTGCATCGGATACCCAGGACCATTACTTCCGACGGAGATGTTAAGTTTCTAAAGTCACTTCTGGGGACCCTTCAATTCAGGTCAACAGTTCATCCCAAGACAGACAGTCAGACACAAATGATGAGCAGGAGTCTGTGGAAACTTCTGAAGTACTTTGTGGTGAAAAAAATTAAACAATGAGACCTCATTCTAGCCCAAGCCAAATTTGCTTAGAACAGATCCGTGAGCTAGACCATGGGACGCAACCCATTTGAGATGGTTTATGGGAACAACCCTCTCACTTTAGTTTACTTGGTATTACTCATTTTGACATCGAAAATTAGTGAGGATGCTAAAGAAAGGGTACAAGAGATTCAGAGATTGTACAAAGAGACAGGAAAGGATAACACCAAGCAGAACCGCAAGTACCAAGCACAGGCAAATAAAACTGGAAAGGGAGACTTTCTAAGAAGGGGATCTAGTGTGGATCAAGTTGAAGAAAAAATGTTTCCTTGAAATCCTGCATTTTGCATCAATAGCTTCAAAAATTACAAATAGATATCCCGATATGCACCTATTATGTACCAAAATGTGATATATCATCTACAAGAATAGAGGAAAGAGCATTATGATCATTTAAATGCGACAAACAAACGGTCTTGAAGGGCAAGCAGCGCACACGCATGTGCCGCCTTGTTATATTCACGGGGTAGATAAAAAAGCATCTGCCCCAACTTCAAAAGGAAAGCAAAATTGGGAGCCACACGTGGTTTTTATTGCTCTTTGGTCACATTAGCTTGCAAAAACAGTATGATGATGGTGTAATCTCCTTCAATAATAATAAGTTTGCTCTCATACATCCATGGTTCACAGATATCAGAAAAATGGTGGACAGCTTGAAGCTCCACTTGGCCACTATCCCAATACTCGAATTGTTGACCCATGACCGCAATCCCTTGACCTTGCCTAGGGCAGATGAACCTTTTAGGATTCTCAAAAGACTGAATGACAACGCCTATAAGATCGACCTACCAGGAACTACAACATTTCTGCTACTTTCAATGTGATAGCATATTTAACTCTATGTTATTAGGAACCAGAAGGTTTGACCGTGAAAAATGAGGTCAAAGCTCCCTTAACCCAGAGAGACTGACGCGGGTGCATCTCCCACACAAAAGCGGGATCCCACACGAGAAGTGGGACAAGCAGCCTCATAATGTTGAACCAGGCAAAATTTGTGGAAACGGTTCATTCCATGAGAGAAGAGTACCGCACAATCACTCCTTCACAAGAAATTGTTGTCTATTTGAAAGAGCCCCACACTTAACTACCCTAGTAGTATGATGTTAAGAGTACCGCACAATCACCCCTGCCCTTAACATCATGCGGCTGTGATTAGGACTGTCAAAACGGCTCGTTGCTCGCAAACTCGTGTTCAACTTGCTAAGCAAACGAGCTGAAGAAGAACAAATTTTTTTTGAGCTCTACATATAAATGAGTCGAACATGAACAATGAAATTTTTTAAAGAGTCGAGCTCAAGCTCGTTAACACCCCTACTTATGAAGGAAAGAAACGAATATGGAAGTCAGGACTTTAATTCTAAAATTCAAAAAAAAATAACATAACAAAAATGTATATTGCTACTGTCTTGCCCCTTTCTTGTAGTTTAAAAGTTGGTTGTCTACAAGTTATTGAATTTTTTGAGATGTACGGTAGTTATCCATGAATTGTTGTGCTGCACTTGATAGAAAGTTGGCTAAAATCCAAGTTTATTTCAACAATTTCTCAAAAGTTGAGTTGTATATATATCATGCCCAAGTCGTTTATTAGATTATCAAAACTCAATCAAGGTAACACCTTGAGGAAAAAATATATAAAGTTTGAGAGCTTGTATGGGCATCAAAAATTTACATCAGGCTCTTCAAAAAGAGTTTGTTAAGGATCAACTTTTTAAAAGGCAAATTATATTATAGATAAGATACTACCAAAATATTTTGCACTAATGTTATGAAGACTTTAAAATAGCACAAATTTTCCCATAAATGCCAGATTGATGGTCAAGATTTCAGCAATCCATTAGCTATACTTGTTTTGCAGGGAAAGACAAAAAAAGAATAAATGTTTACATACACCTCCACCAACTTCATATAAACCCTTGAAAGACGTTAGCATAAACTTTGTCATAGGTTTATCCAGAATACTACGAAAACAAGATTTTATTTATGTAGTGAAAAATTTCATTTTCAAAATCATCACATTGAACAACATGTCATAAATTTATTGAAGTAAAATAAGCTACTAAACCGTATTTTAATACAGTGGTTAGATTACATAATTTACCTAATACAATTATTCCAGATCAAAATATTTAAATTCATGAGTTACTTTTAAAAAACTCATCAGAAAATAAATTCTAATTTATTATCATCCATAAATTATTGGTCAATTAAGGTGGTAAGTAGAAGTTCAGAAGTTAGGATATCTTCTCTTATAAAAGATCATGCACCTAAGTAGAATTTGAAATTGTATGTGGCTGAGTTTGCATACAATTCACCAACCAATGGATAGTATTACCACAAGTCCATTTGAGATTATCATAGAGTATTAACCTAGGAAATAGACCGGTCGAATCAGGAGCAACTTAGTGAGAGACCTAGTTATAGTAACAGACAAGTTCAAAGGGAATGGCAGAATATTTTGGAGCCACTGAAACTCATCATTCTTCATATACACCTGGAAACCTCACATTAGAAGCATCCTAGCAAGAAGATGTCGGAATATTTGGATACAAGCACAAATCAATAATGGCAAACCTAAGAAACCAATTCCAAAATGATCAATAATATACCTGATTTGATTGTGGACATTCAATTAGAAAGCTAATTAAACATCTCATATCAGCAGAAGCCAGCGAGGAAGGTGCAGCCCCAATCAAGAGCTCAATGACTACCATAAGCTCATCTACCAGTAGATTAATTTCGCTGGCAGGCCTAGTTTCCAGATTAGGAAATGAATCAAACAAGTCCATTTCAGGGACTACCCAGTAGCATCTTCGGCATCCATCAAGAAGAAGTTGCAGGGCATTGGCATCACGCATTGCTAAAGACTCTGTAAACACCAAGTCTGCAAGGGATGATAAGAGCTTTTTCTGTAAACCATATTTGCACAAGCTCCATGCTTTCAAATCCAAAAGGAGGGTACTAAAAAGTTGCACCTTTTGCGAATGATTATTTTTGTCAGCCTGACACAGAGATATAACAGCAACAAGGAGTTCTTCATCATAAAGCACGTTTTGCTTCCTTAGTTCCATAACAGAAATAGAATGCAGTAAATGATAGAGAGTTCTCGACAAGATCTCTGGAGCCCAACAACGGCATATTTCCTCCTTGTTTCCGGTATGTTGGGTTGCAATGCAGAGGATTCTTAGTATCGAGGCTGAAATTGAAGCACACCCAAGCGAGAGAGAAAAGTCACCAAAGATGGGCTCAAGGCTGTCCATCTTCACATTGCTTACAGTTAGTGGAAGTAAAGCCATTGGACCACCATAAGCAAGAGCCCATAAAGATTCAGATGAGCGAACTCGAGTTGCAACATGAACTTGACCGAGGACTTCAGCTGGTCTTCGATGAATACCTGAAAAATTAGAAGAATATATTGAAATAATTTAATTTAATGATTACGAGTAATTTTTAATCTTCATTCAAACTAAGTCAACTTTATTACTCTTCATAAAAATCTTTTTATCTTAAAAAAAGATAATCGTAACTAGTAAATGGTATAAATACAACAAGGGCAACTGCTAGAGGAAAAAAGGAAAATACATAAGATGGTTTGGGGGATTTTAAATTGAAAAAACTGATTCAAAAAATCTGTAACAAAGCTTTGAACATAAGCAAACAAAGCATAAAAACCTTAGAAAACACGAGATTTAACATGAAAAATCAGAGAACGAGAAAAATAATAGTTGCGCCACACCAAAAAATCCACTATGAAAAGAATGAGGAGAATCGTAAAAAGTACACCGCATTCAAGCCTCTACACACTTTGCAGCACTCTAAGACACATCTCATCTCCTTTGCAAAAGAGAATTTGAAATTCAATACATTACTTGCCGCAAAAACAAAACTTTAAGTGAAAAACTGCCCAAAGTCAATTACTGGCGCAAGCGCGCCGCGACAGTGGCATCGTAGTTCTCCAAAAGGGTGTCGGGGCGCGGCATCCCAGCGCTTCAATGCGGTGCTTTTGGGTCTTGAACCTGGACTGGTTGTGGTGATGTTAGGCCATTGCAAGTACGGCGTCGAAGCATTGTGTACAAAATAAAAAATTTCCGGAGCAATACACCCCAAAAAAGCAAACTCACAATCAAACTTGATCGGCAAAATTGAGGACTCTGAGTGAATAATTGATTAAAATAATCAAGCTTCACATAATAATAGACATAATAAATAAATTATGAGGGGCCATATAAAAACTACAAAAAAAATATTCATTTTGAATATCTTGTTTGAGGGCTGGTAAATCTGGTAAATAAGATTTGAAACCTCCTCCCCAACAGAGTATTAACACTTTGAATGCTATCATTTGAATCAATTTACTGAGAATAATGTTCATTAACGTCTTCACTAATTGGCAGGGGTGATGTTTTTCAAGAACAAGCAAGTTGGCATCAAGGATTTGCAGTTGGATCAGTGATCAACTCCATGAGACTAGCAAAGGTAGGCACAGTAGTCTCAAATTCCAAAACAGAATCTGCATGGCTTCCAAATTTTTAAGTGTAGATCAATAAGATCAAGGAGTATCAAGCATCATAGTGATGGGAGGACAATTCTAAACATTATTTTATTCCTCCTATGGCTAATAATTAGATTTCCTCAAATATGAATACGCCTTGAAACATTTATAAAATTTACATTCGAAAATTTTGCAAAAAAATCAATAGAATTAAATGCATTTAAATTAAACCTTCTGTCAATATCCCATAAAAAGAGAAATCAATCACAACGTTTCAACCAATTCAACCAAAACTTTTAAAATAGAGGAATTAAAAAGAACAGTAATTGCAGCAATGTAGATGAAATATAGAGCCTGCGGAGAAAAAAAGTGGATTGGCTAAACTAATGTTGAAAAAGTCAAGGGATTGCAAACCAAACTAGAGAGATAGATGGCACCTGAAAAAAGATAAAATAGGAGTACGGTTTTACCATTTATAGTGTATAGTTACTAACATAGTAGGAGCATTGAGAAAAAAGTCTGGTGTAATACATTTCTAAAGCTTGTCTTATATGACACGACAAGAGTCAATGAGCTCAACAAAAAAGTCACAAATCAAGGGTAAACCAAGCATCAATTTGCAAATAACTTCCAAATTGTAATGGCCCAAAGAGAATATGCCCACAGTTAGAGAATGGCCTAAGAAGTTCTCATTTTGAGTGAAATGAGCGCAGATTTATCTTGATATGCGAATAGCCACCTTAATTTATCTTTAGTTAAATCTTAATTTGAAAAAAAAAATGGTTAAAAGGAGAGGAATGCAATCTTGAAACAGTCAGTCCAACAACAACACTTGCAAAAGGACAACAAGTGGGAGCCGCAAGAAGCTCAATTATTGAAGGAGTGAAAATATTAAAAGAGCCTCCTCATAAAAATGAGACATTGGAACAAGCAGCAGTAATGGAAATCGGAATTGCATCTAAAATTCTAAAAAAAATAATGAAGAAGTGTGATTCACCATAAAGAGAATAACAAAGGCAGAAAAGCAGCGGATGAAATGCAAAATCAAAAGTTAGAATGGCAGTTGTGGCACAAACCAAAACCAAAAGAAGTGATCCACAAAAGGTCAAAAATCAGAGGAAAAGTAGAAAACCATGACAGGTGATAAAAAAAGTAAGGGGCAATTAGAGGATCATCCAAGCTGCAATAGTAACCAAGCTAGAAAAATCTAACCAAGAGCAAGAAAAATGAGACTTTAACGCAATGAGATGTCGATGCCATAGAGTGAGCAAGAGCATGCCTAAATGCAACACTACATACGAGATGTGAATGTGAGCAAGAAGTTATGGTAATGAAAAGAATTACTAGCGGAAGTGAAATGCCAAGGGGCAAAACCACTTGCTGGCACAAGCAGAGAGACAAGCACGGGGAGAGGCCACGGATGAGAGACAAACTATTTTCATTTATGAATTTTTTTTTATTTGTTCAAGCAAAAAAAAGGGATATATTACCATTCCATGAAAAGGATCCAACACAACGCAATAACAAAACAATACTATATGGAAATGACTAGAAATTAAATGCAACATTGCCGAAAAAATGTGAAAAACCCCCCAATAGCTATGTCAGAATCATCAAACTTTGAGCCTAATATACTTTGGAATGTAGAAGTATATTTTCGAGCTATTTCTTCCCTCTTAGAGCAAGTACAAGCTGAAACATCTTATGGCTCCTCTTGGCTTGAAAAACTAACATCATAGGTAATAAAAAAAGAGCGGATAAACCACCTCCCCGACATCAAGGAGAACAAAGAAAAGAAAACAAAAACTCAATACGAGAAATGATCACTAATTTCGTGAGTAGAACTAGATGGGACTAGCAACTTCGAAAAGCATTGATTATAACACAATATCCAAAGTTGATTCCAGTTTTTTAGCACAGACAATATTGAAAGGAAAGGAAATTGCCAACATAAAAAAGTAGGATTTTATCATATCATAGATCCTCGCTTCCAAGATTACTAGAATCCAGCAACTATGAGAGGCGTGGGTGCTGAAATCAGCGCCCGAGTACGGGTGCTTAATGAACCCCGAAGCAGAGCGCTTCAATCACGCAGGGCCAGAAACCCCACAACCCTTTGCGAGAACAAGCGACATTTCGCAGGAGGAGAAGGGGGACAAGATCGCAATACCGCACAAAGATGAGAGGCGAGTTGTGAAGCAAAAGGCAGGACGGGATCATAATTCCGCACAAAGGCGGGTGAAGAATCGCGAACTCTCACGATCTAGGAAGCTGCCTCGCCCGAAGAGAGTTTTCTAGATCCTTCTTACCTTCCCACCCGCATCCATTTATAGGAGGCGATAAATTGTTGTCTCCTATATGTGGAGTCAGTTTTGATGGTGTCAAATTCTTGTGTGGAGTTCTTTCTCTTTGGGGTTTGAATCTGAAGAGGTGGTGGTTCTCTGACTGTATCCTCTCTGAGATGGTGTTTGTATCCTTCTCTTTTACTTTCTCAAAGCCTTCTCCTCCGCACGCACAACCACAGAACTCCCCCTCCGCCACCAAAGCCCTATCCTCTTCAGCAAGCTATTACTGTTGCCCATCCTTCCGACCTCCTTCCAAACTCCTCCCAACCCACTGCCCGTTGTCGAACATCTACAACCCTACCTTCTTGTCCCTACATTTCTGCACCTTCTCTTCACTGCCACACTCTTCCCGTGGTTGTCATCATCCCTTCCAATCATCCTATACCTCAAGCCGACCTCCACCACCCATTCAAATACATTTGGCAGTGTTTGCTTGTGTTGTATAAGTTTTGTATTGTTGCGTTATATTTTAACCCATATTTCCCTACTAATAAAAGTTTGTTTTTTGTGTTTCCACTGTTTTCCTACTAGTACTGGTATCATTTGGCATTAGAGCTAGCCCGACCCTAATCTCATCTTAGGGTTTCTAGCATCTGCCCCACCCAAGCCACATCAACCAATTTTTCTCCTTCCAATCTTCAACCCTAACCATGCCACCATGGAGAGATACACCAAGCTCTACTCGAGAAGACATCCAACGAGAAATTCATCATCTGCAACGAAGACTAGCCGAGTTGGATGACGATAACCAGAAAGAGGTTACATTCAACCGTAATCGAGAGAGTCAAAGAGAAGACAGGGATGAAGAGATGAATTTGTTCCACATGGAAGATCACAGTGACGAGGAATATCGACCATGTCGTTTTTGTATCCAATGTTAAAGGAGGCCGAGAGAAGAGGTCCCTTATGGAGGTCAGCGGGACTTTGAAATCAAGATTGACCTCCCATAATTTGAGGGAAGTATGGATCCCGAAGAGTTTATCAACTAGCTACAATCTGTTCAACAGATTTTCAAATATAAAGATGTACAAGAGAACAAATAAATCAAGCTAGCTGCCATTAATTTAAAGAAAATGCCTACTTATGGTAGGAAAATCTACAAAAGCAGAGAAAAGCAGTGAGAAGATAACTAAGTCGGAGAAAATGAAGAAGACAATGCAGAAAAAGTACCTCCTACCCCACTATCGCCAGAATATGTTTCTAAAACTCCACAACCTACAGCTGAGGGATCTTTCAATTGAGAAGTTCACAGCCCAATTTGACCACTTGCAGCTGAAATGCGAATTGAGGAGCCAGAAAAACATGCGATAGTCAGATATCTCGAGAATCTGATACACGCCATCAGCAATGTGGTACAATTGCAGTCATACTAAAAGTTGGGGGATGTTCAGACATTAGCATTGAATGTGAAAAGGCAACAAAAGAAAAGCAAACAACAGTCATCCTTTAAACAACAAACTTCAGGTAAGCATCCACCTACAGTTACCACGACCGACAAGGGCACCCCGGGAGAGACTAGCCAGCCTGGACACGGAAATAACAGTCTGAATCAAAACA